CGCCTCTTTCTGCACTCTTGTGGTTAGAGGAGCTAGGCTAGAATTCATTACACCCACACCCACGAAGTTGCCATCTTGAATCTGCGCCAGAATCCCTATATTTGTCTTCTAGAACCCTTGCCAGAGACAGCTCTATTTAAACCACTTGGACACGCATTAACTGCTGATCCCTCGGAAACAGTCCATGTGGGTTTCTAAACAGCCCAGCAGCAATAGCTGGGCATTTCTCACAGTGACTAAGTTCTTGTTCACTCTGCCCACTGTGTGGGCAGTTCAAGACACTCCAGGGTTAGACATATACAGGGTAAGTAAGTGGTCACATCTCTCTGGAACACTCAGCATACTGCTGTGGTTCCAGGTCACTAACTGATCTCAGAAAGCCTAGAGCCTTGGGCCTGCCACAATATCCTCCAACTGCATCCCTTCTAGGAACCCATTTCTATATGGAGGGGAGCTCTGCACACCCCAGTATGGGCTGTTGTCCCATTCAACAAGGCAAAAGGGACCCAGGTCAAAGGGGAAAGGCTTACACTCTGGAAACCAGGACTTTACATTCTGGTTCTTCCTCTACCAACAGCTCACTGTGTAACCTCAGGATCCCTTGTCCCCAGGGAGCACAGGATTGACATCTTGGGCAGAGCAGTATCTTGGGCTGACCTGGCTTCTTCTCACCAAACATGTCAGTCCTCGTCTAGCTGTTACTGGCAGGTTTCCTATGCTCCTCATGAGGAGCTATCAGCCCTATGATTGTCTACCTGGTTTCTGATATCATGTGAAAGGCTCCACCTTCCCAATTTAGCTATCTTCTCTCTCTCTTCTAGCTAAGAAGGTTCCTCTCCAATCCACAACCTCCACTCTGCCTCTTCACCATCAACCACACCCACCTAATTTGCTTTGTTTGCTGTGTCTGATTATGTTCTCGGTTGCCTGGTTCCTTGGGTGTGTTGTGATATCACTCACAGATTTATTTTATTAAATATGCTAGTGTTTTAATCCAGCAACAGCAAAGTGCGATGCTTTGTGTTTCCATACACAGCCACTTAGATACTGGCATTGTGCGAAGATCAGTTTATAATTGGGAGAGCAGCACTGGGTGTGACTCCAGAGTGTGACTCAGTATTGGCAGGTCCCCAATACTTTGAACCTGGCCATGGCTTCCAGTCACCCTTTCTAGTCTTGTCCCTAAGCTGGTACCACTAGACACACCTCTTAGCTATACTGCTTGATCCTGAAGACCTAAACAGATTTCCCACATATAGAGTCAACTCCCAGCTCAGCACCTTATTATGACCTAAATGACTTGGCGCAGTCTACTCAAAGTTGCTGAACTTTGAAATCCCCATTATCTTACATTAAGTTGAGATATATCTGCCACTCTTCTGGAGCAAAGCAGGCAGTCAAGACTGGTAGCCATTATTGCTGCTCTTACCTTAGCATCAGCATCAGCTCTCATTGAAAAGATGACAATGACTTGAACATGGAATAGATAGAAACTCCTTCACTGGTGTGGAGGTGTCTGTCTGTCATCTTTCCATTCCTACTCTGATGCTCAAGGCAGTCTGCATGCAGCCCGGTAGGTCCCCTCTGATCCTGAATGTGCATAATTCACACTTCAGCACAGCCAAGTTCCCAAGCCTCTACATGGTTCTAGGCACAAGGAGCCTACATTGCATAATGCCCCCTCCAACCTGGGCTAAACTGTCTTCTTGATTTTGACAGCAGACACTTGAGTCCGCTCACCACCTGCTACCCTGGCTAGTCCCCGCAGCATGGGCACTGGGTGATCAGGAGACTCTTACATTTGACCAACTGGTCTATGTGCAGGAGCCCGGAAACTGCCATCCTGAGCCCTTGTTATTTCCGTGACGACCACTGGCCTTTAGAGCTTGGTGTGCAGTCAGCTTCCTGTTGCCTTCCTTAGGGGCTGTTGAAGGGCTAGGATAGACCTTTGCCTTACCAGCAAGCACGGGAAGAGGCTTGGGTTGGACCTGGGGTGTACTTAGCATGGGGGCTGCTTTCTGATGCTCAGATGCTGATGTCACAGGTAACATATCTTCCTGACAGGTAAACTCTGCCTCGCCCCTCGGCTGGCCACCATTGCCTCTTCCTCCTGCCTCTGTGAGTTCTAGCATTCTGTGCTCTGACCTGTGCTGTGACGCTCCCTACTTCTCTTCCTGGCAGATGTGGGCCCACCCAGTAGTTCTTACCTCTAGGCTGTGTGTTGTTATGACACGATGGCATGACCATAGTTATGGAACAGGAGTCACACTACAGGCAGAGAGAGCTGGGGGAGGTGGATTTGACTGGCTGCCACTAAGCACTGATGCCACAAGCTAATAATGGGGAAAGCCAGGCTCCCTACTGTGAGTTCCACCCCCAGGGGCTTTAAGTTGCTTTGCATTGCTGTGCTCTCCAGAAAGCATTGCCCGTAGTATCTTCAGGTGGCCTTTCTCAGAGTGCCTCATGGGTCTTGGCTACAATAGAAATGATAAGTCAGCATGAGAATTTTGAAGGGTTCCATGTATCTCTGGGTCCACAGACACAGGCTACATTGAGTAATGAATTAGGCCATGTTAAAAACAACAACAACAACAAAACTAGCTGCTGAGGTGCAGTACAAGAACCATGGGTTTGTCATGTGAGATAATTGGGGATGGCACATACCCCACAACATGGCAGGAGTTTACAAGTTCAAAATCAACTTATCAAAAGACTCTAGGGAAAATCCTTACTGGTATCTTCCAGCTTGGTGTCTCTAGGCATTCCTTGGCTTGTGGCTGCATCATTCTGACCTCTGCTTCTGTCCTCCCATGTTTCACTCGTAAGCCCCACCTGGGTAGTCAGAGATGCTCTCATCTTGACGTCATCAGTCACATCTGCAATGGTCCTTTCTCCACATACAAGCACATTCACAATGTCGGGGTATGTGTGAACTCCTTATTCAACCCAGGGCACTGATTGGGCTTGGAAATGTCACCTCATTTTTCTGAGCATTGACACCTTCATTTATGCTCTGAAAGGCAGTTGTGAGACTTGGGGTGAGTGTGTAGTAAAGCGAACGCTCTGACTGTGAGCTTTAACTGTGAAGGCTCGAACCTGACAGTGCTGTGATCTGTGACAATCTCCTTGTCACTCTGACACCTCCCCTGCCCCCTGCCCTGGCCTTTCTTCTTTGTGCTCTCCAACATTCTTTGTGCTCTCATGACTCATAGCCCAGGTTTTCCCATATGGAAAGTGCTGATGTACATATTTAAAAAAAATAGATCCCCTCCCATCTCCAGGCTAGCAGGTGTCTTGCTCTTCCATTTGCTCCTAGAGAAGAGCTTATCATCCAGAAGCTCTGGGTCTCTTAGAGCTTTGTGACCCTAGGCACAAAATGATGGCATCTGCTTTGTTGTCACAACATAGGCTCATGGGAAGACCAACTGGGAGAAAGCTTAAAGTGTTTTATGTGTGTAGGGTCTTGTCACTCCAGCCTGGGCTGAGGACATGCCCCCAGATGGCTGCACCCGCACATCCCTCTTCTTCCTCGGATGTGTGTTTTCTTCCTCTTCTCCCTATTCCTACCTATCCTTCTGACCCATCAACCAAGGTCCTAGGTCTCTGCCTCCCCTGGCTAATGTGTCTCATTTAGTCACTCTACTTTGTGATCCCTCTGGACCTGAATGAATGCTGGTCTCATGATCAAGGACTTTGTCCTCAGGCACCAGGCTGATATCCATATTCAGGAACTCACTGGTACTATCAGGACCAGCCTGACACCATGGAGAAAAGGCCTATTGTGTTGGCAGAAGAAGGCTCTGGCAGGGTTTTTGGCTAGAAAATGGAGAACAGCCCTCTAAGAGCAGCTGGGTCTTGCTTCAAATCTGTGCTCAATTACTCTTTTAGTCTTGACAAATGGGAGCATAATCCTTACTTGCAGGGCTGGTGAGAGCCACCTGATGAAGGGGGTGGAGGAAGGGTGTTTTCTGGGTGCTGGGCGCTGGGCAGAGCTTGCCCTATTTCACAGGGGCAAGTCTGTGCAGAATGAAGACTGGAAGCACGAGGTTTAGGTGTGCAAAGTGACAGGGTGAGATGGCACCCACCATCAACTTTGCACCAGTCTAGTTTGGAGGCTGGAAATGGACTCACTGCTCCCCCAGGGCCTCCCATTTACGTGGGCCTTGTCCCCAGAGGGAGATACACTCAATATCTAAAGAAAGGGATTTCAAGTCCCTCTGTTTCCCAAGGATGAAGGAATGAAGTAGTAGTCTCTTGGCTAATGTCACTCTCCACTGGCACAGTGACCATCAAAGGTGGCCAAATACCAAGCAGTTTTCATTCCAAGCACTTACCACTGGTCCTCAGTGGAGCCCTGTTCCCTCTCATCTCCTAGGTATTTACAGGTATTCTTTCTTCGACCTTCCCATCGTCTTTCTTCTTTATTGTCTTTAATCCCAAGATGGTCTCACGTGCCTACGAGTGTCTCAGTGCTAACATACTTATGATAGTATTCCTTAGTATGTGTCTTCCCTCATGGTCCAGGGTCATTTTCAGTGGAGTCAAGGGACCAAGCGGGTAGTTTTTGGAGGACGGAGAAGAAGGAAGGTATTTCAAAGCGGGTGTCACATCTTCCACCCTCCTCCTACTCAACTCATGTTGGCTAGAGAAGTTCAGACAGCTATCTAATTAATGGACATTTCCAGGCAATTCCTCTGGAGGACTTGCCTCTCACCTTCACTATGACCTTGGGCCAGCCTATTACACCGCACAGGGAGACAGATAAACACTCCTGAGAGATAAAGTTGGGGGGACCCATCTTTACATGCTGAGGCCTGAGTCAGTTGTGAAGGGATCCTTGGTGTGTGAACTGAATCTTCCTGGGCAGATGTGGAGGAGGATGAGGGGGGAGTGAAAGCCAGAGAGGGAAGGGCCTGGAGATCATAGCAGATGCAGTATGCCCAAGGTTTCTTCAGTCCTGATGGTAAGAGCCTGTCATTATGAACTGTTCTCTCTCTCCTAGGGTTGTGATCGTGTTCTGAGCTGGCAATAAACACTTGCCGTGACTTTCAGTCAATCCAACCACCAGATTCCAGTCACCATGACCCTCGCAGGTAGGTACACACATCATCCCCCAGAGATGGACGCTATAGCACAAGCCATTTCTCTCTTTCTCTTTGTGTGTTCATGTGTGGTGAGATGCATGTGTGACCGGTGCATGGTATATACCATGTGCGTCCACATGTATGTAGAGGTCAGAGAACAACTTCAGGTATCATTTCTCTGGATCCACTACCTTGCTGTTTTTAGAAAGGGTCTTTCATTGGGCTTAAGCTTGTTGAAATGGCTAAACTGACTGGGCAGTGAGTGCCAGGGATCTTCTTGTTCCTGCCTCCCAGTTGTTTTTACATGCCAGTGTTGGGAATCAGAACTTGGACTTGCAAGGCAAATCACTAGCTCCTCAGCCCTCTTTCTCTATGCATGTGCTCTTACAGATGCATAGAAAGAAAGGGTGGAGAGGCAGAGGCAAAGCTGTTTCTGGGTGTTGGGCAGGATCACAGCTAAATTCTTCTTCCTCATTTGATCATTTGTGTGTTTTTTAAATTTTAAAACAGTATCTTTATAGTAGTGTTGAAACTATGCTTTCAGGCTTTTAAGAGAAAATGAGCACCCGAGTCTCTTATGTTGTACATAGAATAGGGTGCAGTGGGAAAGGGCTGGCTGGCAGAGGCCATCATGACGACCTGTGACTTCCAGAGAGACTCCTGCTGTCAGGGGTACATTTTTTTTTCTCTGTGGACAGCCACTCCCCTGGTTTGATTCCTGTGCTGGGAAGTTATGAGGAGACTCTTAGCCCAACTCCCTCTAGAGTGGACCTGTTCTTACAAGGAGAGTAGTAATTTTTGCTGCTTGTATTAACCACTTGACCCCTTTGGCAGCCATGCCAAGTACGTTTTGAACAGATTGAAGAGTCAAGGACCTGGCCTGTCCCTGGGTGGAAGTATGAGATGGAGATTGGGAACCAGTGTGGGGAAACTGGCACCTGGGGTCTTTACTTGAGGGTACTTTGAGCTTGGTATTGACAGAAGAATGGGGTCAAATTTCAAGCCTGAGGTGGCCCAGGCTTGGGTCCTTTGGGGCCAGAAAGCCTGGCCTGACTCGGGGAAGTGCTGGTTTCTGGGGCTAGTGGGCCTATCTTCACTGGCTCACTCTCTTGTAGCCTACAAGGAGAAGATGAAGGAGCTCCCACTGGTGTCTCTGTTCTGCTCCTGTTTCCTGTCTGATTCCCTGAATAAATCATCCTACAAATATGAAGGTGAGTGGGGGCTTGGCTGGGAAAGGAAAGGGTGGAGTCTTCTGTGTCCTGTGTTTGTGGGTGCCCCCTATTGGCCCTCATCTTGTAAAACTGTCCTGGTCATAGTGTGTCTTCTTTCCCAGAGCTGGAGGGGTCTGAGCCCAGGGGATTTGGTTCAGTCCAGGTATTTGGGGTGCCAGGTAGCAGTCAGGGATCTGGATTGGGCCCTTCTGTAGCACTTGCTCTTAAAGTCCCTTTTGCACATTCCTTGGATAAATAGATGCCACAGAGGATTCAAGGACAAGCCAGACACAGGTTCTGAGATTCTGTCCATAAAGACACAGAACATAAAAGAAAACTTGGTATGTTCACCAGGGCATCCAGGGACAGACAGAGATGTTCCCAACAGCCCAGAGGTGGAAAGAGCACTTCCTGCCTGGTGACAGTGGTGCTGTCAGAGTTCCCAGACCCTGTCACAGAGTACTGAATGGCCATGCTCTCATGAGGAGTGGTCAGGGGACAGACAGGTCATCTCTTCATTTCTGTTTGCAAGGAAGGGATGGGTTTGGTCTGTCAATGAGAGAGGTGGGTGATTGGATGACCTGAGACTGTTTTTTCCATTTAGGCTGGTGTGGGAGACAGTGTAGGAGGAAAGGTCAAAGCCAGCGGAAAGGCAGTGCTGACTGGAGAGAAAGAAGAGAACAGGGTAGGCGGGAGCCAGGGGAGAGGTCCACAGGCCATCAGAGGGACAAGGCAAAGAGGGCTGGGGGTGGGTGGTGGGTGAAAGGAACTGATATCTGTCACCAGCGAGGAACAACAGTAGCTGGCGTTCCTGTAGCTGTTATCACAAATCACGGCTCCTATGATCCTTGCCCTAGGATCCCCAAACCTTACTCTGTCAAAGCCACTGGACTTAGGGTCCAGTGTTCAGGATCCACCAGACCCTAGTCATTGGAGTGGCTTGGGACCCCAGCTTCCCTGTGTCTGTGTGCATGTGTGCATGCTCGTTGGGGCCCAGCTGCTCCTCGGCAAGTGAGCAGACTCGACTTTGTCCTCTATAGCAGATACCGTGGACCTGAACTGGTGTGTCATCTCTGACATGGAAGTCATCGAGCTGAACAAGTGCACCTCAGGCCAGTCCTTTGAAGTCATCCTGAAGCCACCCTCCTTCGATGGGGTGCCCGAGTTTAATGCCTCCCTTCCCCGACGGCGGGACCCGTCATTAGAAGAGATTCAGAAGAAACTAGAGGCAGCGGAGGAGCGAAGGAAGGTTAGCACAGTCCCATCATTTTTATCCTTACTTCCTTTTGTCCCCGTGTGAGCAAGAAGGAGGAGAGCTGGTGTCCCTGAGGTGGGTAAGGGGACACAGTGAACCTGCGAGTGTTTAGACAGCACCTCCCAAGCACTGAGCACAGACTAAGCCACTGCCTGAAGAAGACAAGACCATGAATGTGCACTGGGTGAGCTTACAGTTTGTTTAGTGGCGGAGGTGTCCCATTCCTCTCAGAGCTGGCCTTGTATTGACTTCCTCGTTTCTCATTGATTCTCATTGATTCTCATCCCCGCACCATTTGAAGAACTTTTGAAGCAATGCTCTTCAATTTCCAAAGGGGGGAAGAAAGCTTTCTCGGTTGAATTCTGTGGTCCCTCCCTTCACCTCCAAAGTATTTATCACGTGCAGGTCTGGGTTTCAATTATTTATTTATATGCATGTTTATTTCTATTAGGCTATTTGCTCCCTTCCAGGGTGTCTGGAGTTGTGAGTGCCTTGAAGTCAATATATGATTACATAGTATTTGTGAATGAATGAGTGAAAGAATGAATGATGAAAATGAGAAAAAAAAAGATTCAGAAGCTATTTAGAAAAGGGCTAATTAAGTCAATGACGGAAAGCTTTGCAGGCGGTCCCGTGTCACTGCTTCCTGCTTCTGTGCTAGAGGACCAGGTTCAGGGCTGGATCTCGTCTGGGTGTAGCACTGTTAAGCCACAGATGGTAGAAATCATCTTAAATCATCTATCTCTGTCTTGTGCTCCCCTAGTACCAGGAAGCGGAGCTCCTGAAGCACCTAGCAGAGAAACGAGAGCATGAGCGAGAGGTAATCCAGAAAGCTATTGAGGAAAACAACAACTTCATCAAGATGGCAAAAGAGAAGCTGGCCCAGAAGATGGAGTCCAATAAGGAGAACCGGGAGGCCCACCTGGCCGCCATGTTGGAGCGGCTGCAAGAGAAGGTAAGCGGTCCTGGATGGCAGGAGGCTCTCTCCGTCCGTCCGTGTAAGTACGCGTGACCTCCGCATCACTCTGGAGGAAGCAGCCTCTGCAGGAATGGAAATGTTTCCACCAGGCAGAGTCCTCGTCGTTCTAAGGGTAGGATTTGGGAAGTCGCAGACAAGAAGCACACACCATACCTTGGGTGGCCTCGGGGAGGATTTTCTAGAGTTTTACACCCGGTGTTTCTCAGTCTTAGGAGCTTGCACGTAGCGCACCCTTCTTTTCTAGAGAAAACATGTCCGATACACGTATCTAAGGAGAGTCATCTGTCTGCACATTTCTGGCTTCATCCTTGAAATGGACAGATTTGGCTTAACAAAAGATGCTAACCCGAGCATGGCTTTTAGCCAGGGCCACAGCAAGCTTGCTTGCCAGTAAAGCAGGAAACAGGATTCTTCCCAGAGCTCTTGATAAGGGCCACAGAGTAGTCGGTTTTTCCAATAGTCTGCCTTTGTCAGTAACCAAAATGTCACCTGCATCTGAGAGGTGTGAGAGACTGGGGTTAGTCCTCCGTGTCTTTCTTTGGAAGACATGCTGGCCTCATTCTCTGAGTCCCGGGCTGCCTCAGTTCCTCCTGCAGCTCCTGGGAAGCTTTAGCTCTGTGTTTTATTTCCAGGAGCCGCCTGCTGCGCGGTGACTCCCGGGACCGATCGGTGGCCTCGTCCCATGGTGAGCAGCGTGGTCCTTATTCCTTCCCACCTACCCACCTAGAACCTCATGCCCTTGGCAACAGTTACTAGAAAGATCTGGCTTCATCCAGGGATGTGAGCTGCACAGACTGTGGAGCGGCCAGTAGGTGGCAGCCCCATGCTCTGCTGTTCAATTCTACAAGAAGCAGCAAGGCTTCTCTCCTTTTTCTGCCTTAGGGGAGGGACACAATCTGGGTCTGACTTTGGGCTTTTCCAGTGAATGAGAGATACTGTAGGAAAACCTAACATCGCCTTTTCTTTTTGATACTGAGTCTCGTGTGTCCAAGGCTGGTTCCAAACTGGCTGTGTAGCTGAGGATGGCCTTGAAATCCTGATCTTTTTACATCCACCTCCCAAGAGCAGGGATTACAGGTGTGTGCCACCAAGCCTGTTTAATGGAGTTTTGGGGATTGATCCCAAGGCTCCGTGCTTGCAAGGTAGGCACTCTAACAACTGAGCCATAGCCCCAGCTCCAAGACAAATTCTTGAAGAAACTGAGGTTTGAAGGGAGAGTTGGGCTTACAGACCCAACCTAAAACAAGTTACAAAATTAGTTATAATATATTATAACTATATAATATGTTATATATTATATTATATAATTATATATATTATAGCACTTGAAAGTTTGTTTATAAAATCCTTTTATTTTATCTTAACATGGTCACAAGTCTATGAGGTGAACAGGACAGGCATCATTCTTAGTTCAGATGAGGAAACCATTTCAGAGGTCAAATGATTCACTGAGATTCACACAGCACACAAGCAATAGAGCTGGCCTTGGCCACTTGTCAGCTACAACCAGCTGTTTTCTTGCCTGTCTCAGAGAGAATATCTCAGTATTGTCTCACAAGTTTTTATCAGAAGAGGTTCTTTGGAGACCAAGTAGAGGCCAGAAATCTAGGGCTCTGCATACTAAGCCCCTTGAAAACAGAGGTTCAGGTGGGGGTGGAGGCTTATATTTGGAAGGACAGCTGTGCACTTCAAGTGGATGCTAAGAATTGAGATGCCAGATCAGACATTTAAGAGGACATCTTCTCTCGAGACCTTGGTCCTCACTCATAATTATTCACTGGAGGAGGCAAGGAGGCAAGGTCTAGAGCTAGGTATGTGGTTTTTCACCACATCTCTGTCCAAGGACCAGGGATACCTTTAACATCAACAATGTTGTCTACTCTAGCTCTTGTGTGGGTAATGACTAGAATCCTTAGTCATTACAAACCCAGCCCAGACTTACTGCTGGGCTCTTTAGAGGCAAGGTCTGAGGAACATGTGGGCTTCAGGTCACATGATATACATCAGAGTTTGAGAACCAGGCATACTCCTCCTTGCTTTCAGCCTGTGGAAATCTCTATGGCCTCTGAAGGGATAAACTTGTAGGTGAAGATGTATTTTAGGAAACTTGGTGGCCTCAGGAGTCTATTCCTGGTTAATCTGCCATCTAGATGTAAGTAGGAACACCAGGATCTGGTAGGGGGTTCATTGAACATCTGTCAAGGACCATGTACCACAGTAGGGACTGGGAAATACAAATAAGAAAAACACATGTTTCTGGCCTTCAAGGACCCAGATATTTGTCTAGTGAGTTGGAATGATGTGGAGGGCAGGTGTGACATGGCCCCATGAGTGGACACTTGCCAGAGTTTTGCAGGTGAGCCAGCTGCCCATTCTAGTCCCACTGGAAAGATCCAAGAACTTGAGGCCTGGTTAGATAAGACAGTCAGTTAAGGTCACACAGCTGGCTGGGGGGCAGGAAGGCAGATCTTGTCTTTTGGCTAGATTATGTTATGAAGCAAATGAAGCCTGTCTCCCAACACATGTAAGGCAGTCCATTGTCTGGGGCCAACCGCTATTTCCCAACAGTTCTCTGTCAGTACGTAACTTGAGAGTCCTCCTTCAGTTAGCAGTTCAAGACAATGCCAAAGAGATGGGGGAGAAATAACGCATCTGTGATGTGTCAGGGATGCTGGCAATGGGACGGTTCTTTCCCCATCCCCCCCTAAATTGGCTGTTCCAAGTGGCTCCTTATATTTAGTCAAGTAACCACCCCAAGTGCCAGGATGACCAGTGGAGGTAGAGAGAGTCTACGGTGTCTTGGGGTTGCTGTGAGGTGGCTCTCTTACAGGATGTGGGGACTCACTGGTTCACGGGCTATGTGTACTTGTGGGCTTGCACACCTGTGTACTGCATCTTACTTGCCTCCTTCCATCCCTCTCAGGATGCCTTCGCCGACTGCTCTGCTCTGCCTGTGGTTACCAACCTTTGCTTTCCATTCTCTTGCCCTCTGACCTCCCCTGGCAGCCTTGTGTGACCTGCCCTTGTCCCTCCCTTCCTTCCCAGGACAAGCACGCAGAGGAGGTGCGGAAGAACAAGGAGCTGAAGGAAGAGGCCTCCAGGTAAAGCCCAGAGGCCAAGGAAGCTTCCAGGACAGCCGGATGGCTCCCACAGCAACCTGGTTCCAGCAGCCTCGGCTGCTGGCTGCTCTCCCAGCACTGGGGTTTGGGGGGAGGGGGGTGGCCAAGGGGCGTTTCCTCTGCTTTTGGTGTTTGTATATGTAAAGATTGACCAGTGAAGCCATCCTATTTGTTTCTGGGGAACAATGACGGGGTGGGAGAGGGGAACAGAAGGAGAGAGTGTGGAAAGGGAGGTAGAGATGAGCCCATGGACGTTGTGACACTGTCCACTGACTGAAGACTTGGGCCAAAGCCCCCGCTTTTCATGGCTCTGCCTGGACATCCGGCCTCCAGGTTCTGAGTGGAGAGAAGATGAGAACCGAGGCAGAAATTCAGAGTGAAGGGCAGAGTCCTGGTGGGGTAATGGCTAAAAGGGCAGCAAGAATAACCTGAAAACCAGTCTCTGGGCATGCTGATAATGGGTTACCTTGATCATATTAGTCGAGGTGGGAACACTTGCCTAATGTGAGTGGCACCATTCCTTAGCAGACATCAGCTTGTGTCCCATCCCATCAATGGGATGTGGAAGATTCTTCAAATCCCAGATGCCTTGGATGGACAAGCCCATCTGGATGGAGTGAGACCCGCCCTTCAGTGGGTGGTATAAGGTCTGTGTGTGTGTTAATTGTCATCTTTTGATCATCATGACCAATGAAACATTTACTTCAAGTCTCCAGCTTTTTATTTCCTGAATTTGCGCTTTGCAAATGGGTTGAATGTTCTAGAAATTTGGCTTCCCACCTAAAAATTAGATGTCTTCTAATTTTTCCATCTAAGTATCTGATGTGCTGAACGAGGTGGGTTGGTTCATGATAGATATTGGAATTATTAGAGGTTTTCTTTCTCCTTTTAAACCCATTTTGTGGGCTGTCCTTTAGTGATGGAGTGCATTGAAATGATGAGAAAGAAATGGTGCCAAACCTATCTACAGACTGACATCCAAGGATTCATCGTAAGAAGAAAAATGTTAGCCCATGCAAGCTGCTATAACAAAGTACCTTAGGCAGGGTAATCTATAAATTACAGAAACTTACTGCTTATGGTTCTTGAGGTGGGAAGGCTAAGATCATTGGTGCTGGTGAAAAGCCACTTTCTGCTAGGAAAATACTTCCTAGCTTCATGCTGTGTCTTCTTGTAGCCAAAGAGTGAAAGGGCACCATGAAGCTTCTTTTATAAGGGCATTCATTCAATTCATGAGTGGGAGAGACCTCTGGCCCAATCCTTTCCTAAAAGTTCCACCACTTCATATTATTTAACGGGGGATGGATGTTTAATATATGACTTTTAGGGGGACAGCAGCATTTCATAGCAGAAACCGTCACAAAGGGCTTGGGATTCTAGACAGATCATAGAATACTAGTGAGGAGGGTACTTTTTATTAGAAGAAAGAAGAAGTGCCATGTTCTCTAGGACACTGGACCAGTGCTCCAAGGGGCCCCTCTGACCCTCTTCTGCAAACAGGAATGAGGTGAAGTCTATACGAACCAGATCCCAAGGCATCTCCACATTTTGCCTTACACCCTGTGTAGTTTTGCTCAGCTTTGCAAATAAACTCTTTAGTGCTGCTCTAGGTGAGCTTCAATATAGGATAGAATAACTGGAGGATCAAAGGCGGCGGCGGTGGAGATGGTAATGAAGATGGCAGCGATGGTGATGGTGGTGGTGTGATGGTGGTGTTGGTGACAGTGGTGATGGTGGTGATGATGCTTCCAGCTCATACTTTTAGGCAGCATCTATTAGATACCTATTTTCTAGGCTTTCACACATTTATGACCCCATTATGACCAACTGTAAGAGAGAGTTGCTGCTATCATCCCATTATGCAGACAAAGAAAGTGAGGCATAGAAAGGATAAGTCGCTTGCCCAAATACCTACACATAGTAAGTGGGAGAAGAGGGCTTGAATTTGCAGCTTGTTCCCAAAGTCTGTATTTTTAGCCACCCACAGTGCTGCTTTCTGGTGCATCTAAATTAGGCTGCGAGTCCAAAGTCAGGGTTTCTTAGACTGAGTTCTGACTCACTGGATGGTGAGGCCAACTTTGTGGTCCCACTCAGTCTTCTTTTTCTCTCCTTCCCCTTCTGTCATGCTGGGAATTAAGAGCCATGGGCATGGGGGAAATGTATTTTCTGCTCAGAATTGACATAAAAGTTTTCTTTTTTAAAAAAATAAAGAACAAGTGCTGTGGACAGATGCACAGAGAACAAATTCTCAAAGGAAAAAAAATCATTCCTTATAGGAAAGGATCTTTGTAGGAAGGGATTCTCACTTTGTCATTATAGTTAATTATTATAACTTCATTTGTCTTTCCCAAGGCTGTCCATTTAGATAAGGTGCTAGGGGTCTTGGGAGTTAGTCTTTATTTAATGCAGAGGGCATCACAAATCACTGTATCAGCCTCTAAGCAGTTAATGTCTCACTGTTAGAGTATTTTGGTATTTTACTTTCTATTTTTTACTTTTTGGTGTCTGTTCCCTCCCTCTTTCCCTTCTTTCTTCCCCCTTTCTTCCTAGTAGACCAGAAAACAACACATCAAAATTAATTTCAGAAATGGTGTTATGTTTTTCCGGAAATTGTCCATTTTTATTTTGTGGTTATATTTCCAGAGCATAGTACAGAACACATTTCTTCCTGAGGGTGACAATCAAAACCCTTGAAAAGTTGCTGCTTTGGAATGAGCTTGGAGTCAGATCCAGGCTGTCCAGGCTGCAGACCTAGGGGCGTCAGGAAGATGCTGTGAGTGCCAGTGTGGAAGGCTGTGGCCAAGACATCAGATTGGGCTTCTTCTGAGCAAATGGAGACAAGGGAATAGCTCCAGGGTCTCATTTCACAAACTCCATCAGCATCTTCTTCCTCCTCTTCCTCTTTCTTCCTCCTCCAGCATCCTTCTTTCCTGGACCTAAGGCCAGGAGCTAGCTCCCTCTACCTTCTCCCTTCCCCATGCTCAGACAGTTGTCCTTCACTATATGGTCTTGCCCTTCCATGTGCCTGGCCCTTGCTTGGTTTCTCTTCCTTACTTGGTTCCTAAATGTCCCTTTAAGCTCAGTTCAGATATTATGTTCCCTGACTCTGCCAGAGATTCCAGCTTTGCATACTTTGATATACACACAATTTGTTAGAGAATGTCACCTATAAGACATGACCAGGTTTATGAATCTTTGTGTCCCCAGCAGTGTGTGTTTGGCTAGGGTGGCATTAGGAACAGCAAGGTGACTTAAAGATAGGTGAGAGGCAGGGATGAGGAAAGATTTCTGTGACAGCTTCCTTTGTGCAGCCCTTTCTTTCTTTCTTTCTTTCTTTCTTTCTTTCTTTCTTTCTTTTTTCTTCCTTCCTTCCTTCCTTCCTTTTTCTTTTTGTTTTATTTTCCCTTTTCAAGACAAGGTTTCTCTGTGTAGCCCTGGCTGTCCTGGAACTAGCTCTGTAGACCAGGCTAGCCCCCAACTCACAGAGATCTACCTGCCTCTGCCTTCTGAATGCTGGGAATAAGGCATGTAGCCCTTTTCTTAAGCCCCATGTAGAACATGGAGCTTAAAGGTGGCTGACAGTCTGGGGAGATGGTTCAGTTGATGGATATGTAAACACGAGGCCCAAGTTTGGATTCCTAGCACCATGTAAAAGCTGGGCATGGTGCAGTGCTGGGGATTTGAAGATAGGAAGATTCTCTTAGGCTTGCTGGCTGGGCATTTTAGCCAAATTAGTGAAGTTACATGTTCAGTTTGAGAATCTGTCTAAAAAAGAAAGGTGTTTCTCGACAGGCGGTGATGACATACACCTTTAATCCAAGCATTGAGAAGGCAGAGGCCGGTGGATTTCTGTGAGTTCAAGGCCAGTCTGGTCTCCAGAGTGAGTTCCAGGACAACCAAGGATCCAGAGAAACCCTGTCTCAAAAACCAAAAGAAAAAAAAAAGGAAGGTGGGAAGCAACTGAGGAAGATACCTGATGTTGCCCTCTGGCCTCCAACATGAACACATACACAAAAGGTTGGAGGTGACTGATCCGGGGTGTGCAGGAGGCTGAAGTCCATCTCTAGGACAGCCTGTGTCCTCTCCAGTCCCCAGCCCTTGATAGGAAGAAACGAAATACACTACTGATGAGTGTAGCACGGGGCATCTTCCAAGTCTAGGACATCAGTAAACAATTCTTGCAATAAAAGTGGCCACCAGCAAATGTGGCAGGAAGAGCTGGAGGATGAGTTTATGAGAGACATGTGGCTCTGAGGTCCTCAGTCAGTGGCTTTCCGTAGGAAGTGCTCCATCATTCTGAAACAGCGATTTGGGATAAAGCCAGGAGAGAACACAGTGCTTTCTTTGAATGAATGGAGGCTAAGAATGGTAGATGAACACCAAATAGCATCCCACTCAACCCCCAAATATAAATAAGAAGCCCATTGATGATCATCTAGGGCCAAGCGTAAAATATTTCACATAGAAATAGCTTTCCCACATATTAGCTAAGAATCAATATATCTTGCTTAATACACAACTCTCCCCCGATCAAACTTCAGTGACTACTGAAACCCAGAGAGATGGGAGATAAAAACACTAAGACAGTACTCAGGTTTCAACTAGGTATGAGTAGTAGTGGGAGTGGTGTAGCTGGAAGCTTTTCTCTGTCCCTCTTTGTCCCACTGGACTGGTTTCTCTCCTGCCCACTGGTCCCCACAGCCACTTGGAAAACAATCATTCAAAAGCTTAATATTATAATTGTTTGGTCAATGGCTCAGGCTATTACTGGCTAGCTCTTACATATAAATTAACCTATTTGTAATAATCTGTGTATTGCCACGTGGCTACATGGAATTACCTGTTCTCTGGTATAGCTTGCTGTTACAACAGCTCACTCACTTCTCCCCCGACTCTGCCTTCTTTCTTCCTGTATCTCTGCTTGGATTTCCCACCTAGCTATATTCTGCCCTGCCATAGGCCAAAACAGCTTTAATATCAACCAAT